GTGTGACCAGGTATAAATTAAATTGTACTATAAGCTACTCTTATGAATTTTGATATATTTTTCTTTTGTAATATTCATAAAATGTTTTGCTTATAACTTATGTCGTAATTATAAAAACACTCAATAATGAAGCCCTCATAATATAAAACACGCAAACTCAATTATTACAATCATTTAGAAAAAAACATAACTACAAAATGCACTGACATTCACTGAAGTTGGTCACACTGCCATGTTATATGCAAGAAAGTGACGTCATTGGTGTTTGAGATCGAGTAATGGAGGGTAAAAAATATTGCAGCGTTTTTAATTTATATTTAATTTGAGACAAACATTCAAGGTCTCTAAATGTTATTATAGGTTATTATAGGTTATAAAATGCTGTCTTTAAAATATTAAACATAACTTTATTTCGATTTGTAACATTAGGAAATATCCCCATTGTTTATTACACGACTAAAAATCGGGTAGTATACGCATCTCCATATATTCTGAGAATCAAAGCGAGACTAAACAGTTGTGCGATAGTTTAGTCAAAGGTGTACGCACGTTATTAATATTTATTGACCGACTTCCCAAAAGAAGGAGGTACTCAATTCGTCCGTATGTTTTTTTTTATTATTAGAAACATTCCTTATAAAGAGTGCGCCTAGTAAATTCTAATAGCATCTATTTCGTTCATCCCACCTATGCAAGAGAACTAAATGAACTGCGCCTGTAGTTCCTAGAATAGACAAATCCTTTGTCCTAGCGCTCCGGTTCGATGACCGCAACAATAAAATCTACAGAGTTATAAATCACTCAGACCTGGCATTGAAGGTTGAGAGATAAAAATAAACATTAAAGACGTGCTTGGCATTCGACCCAAACATTTTATTACGTTCTACGTTCCTTCAGATCGATGGTTCTAATAGGGCTATAACATGAAACTAGTCTTTTAAAATCGTTTGAAAAAATTATTTACTTAAAAATTACCAAACAAACGAACAGTCCAACAATGTATTTAAATGAATTTTCGTGATAAAACATACTGCTATTAAAACATACTCTATTTTTATTAGAGTAAGAGATTATTATACAAATACTAGCTTTCGCCCGCGACTCCGTCCGCGTGGAATAAAAAAAAACAAAATTAAGTAGCATATGTCTTCTTCCAGACTATCCTCTACATCTACACCAAATTTCATCGAGATCTGTTCAGTAGTTTAGGCTACAAACTCTAACAAACATTCATCCATCAATCTAAACTTTCGCATTTATAATATTAGTATGAAGTATGATTAAACAGTGGAAACCCACACTAAGATGGTTAAGCTATATGGGAAATATCTTAACATAGTCGACCTTGAAGAATAGCTATTGTGTAAGATACGGGAAGTGGCATTGTCTGATCAAAGATAACCTTCAAAGCATTCTCACGTCGCGTCTAATCGATTCATAGGCGATGCTTAATTTTTTATGCTTTACTTTTTCCAACATTCAGATACAAAACAGACATTTTTTATCCGATCTTTAGATAGAACTTTCATAACCAATCCTATAAAGAGAAAAGATATTTATTTTTGTACGTATTGTAATAACTCAAAAAATAGAAAGGTAATTTATCTGTGGGTAACATAGGGTTCGTTATTTATTATTTTTTTATTTCATGCGTGTGAAGTCGCTAGCAAAAGCTAGTCTTTAAATTGTTGGTTGTTTGAAGATTAACTGTTGCTCACGACTTCGTCCACGTGATGCTTAAAAATATAGCCTATGTTACTCACAGATAAATTACCTTTCTAATGGTGAAAGAATCATTAATATCGGCCCAGTAGTTTTGACGCGAATCAAATACATACAAAAATACAAATCTTTCCTCTTTATAATATTAGTATGGATAATCGTGGCAGTGAACTGTGGTCTCGGGGACTTAAATTTACTCGTTGTTTACAAGTGTTACAACAGTACAAACCCTGCGTATAAAAAAGAAACAATTTGTTTTCCAGAAACATCCATATTTCGAACAAAAGAATTCATTATGTTCCGTATTCATTTCATTTTCTTTCAAGCTCGGTCCTTTCAATGTACTAAGATGAGATCCCAGACGGGTCCATTTGTAGGCTTCATGAATACAGTTTCGGCTTCAAGAATATTTCTTTGAACAAAATGTTTTCGCAACAATTCTTCATTCTATTTATAATATATTTTTATAAGAAAGCGAGTAACTATAGCGAATGGGATTTTTTTTTATAATATAAGGTGGCAAACGAGCAAGAGGCCACCTGAATCCACCGAAATGGAAAGCGAGCACTGCCCATAACATCCGAAATTGCAGATGCGTTGCCTACCTTAATTTACGGAGACGCACATAAAGAGGACATTTCCCCTTCCTATGCGTCTCCACCGTCAAATCCACTTTTCCTTCCCATCCTTTCCTCTTAAGAAAAGGGTGGAAAGGGAAAGGGTCTGAAATTAGGCCTCCGGCACCACACTAATGAGACGAAACGCGGAATCGCTTCCACTTCACGCTTGTTTTCTGTGTGGTCGTGATATTTCACTAGGCGAGCCGACCCATTCGTGCTAAAGCATGTTAAATTAAGTTAAATTCGTGTTAAAGCGGGTTCTACCACTGTTAAAATGGGAATGTTTTTATCGAAGAGTACATTTCCACTGTTCAATCTACAAATTGACAACTAAGCACAAAGTTCCTGTTCCTCTCGAGTTCGACCGCGTGAAATTAAATAATAATAAAAAACATAGCCTATGTTACTCACAGATAAACCTTTCTAACGGTGAAAGAATTTTAAAAATCGGCCCAGTACAT